TCGTTTCAATCAAATCAGACACCGTGCCGAGCTAATGCCACATGCCACCGATCTCTCCCTTAATTGTTTAATGAGGTCAGTAGCCATCACGTCACTGTTTCCTTCAGGTAATGATGGACTGCAAAGGATAGAGGAGCCGAGGCGGTTGATTGGTGGGTATAGTCAGCGTGGACGTCATCTTCTACAAGTGTATGTGATTAAAGAGGTGATGTGACAGAATATAAGAAATTTGTAATTATTATATCTTTTAGGTTGATTGGTGATGAGGCCTGCGAGCGATAGATATGAGACTGGAGGTCGATGATCAACAAGGGTTATGTGGCGCCCCCTGGGCTTCAATGTGTTCAAGCCCCTATCACGGTCGATGTAGTTTCCGTCCATGTTAAACGACCTTTTTGGATCTGAATATTCATCATATTCTTCTTTAACTAGTCCACCCCCTTTTTTTTTTATTCTATAATTTTATTCAAAAAGCCATCCTAATAATTGTGGCATAAATTACTAATGAATAATGCAACCTAACACTAGTGGCGATAGATCACCAATCTACTTGGTTACACTTAATAATTTCAGTTAAATAAATCAAGACATGATGCACTTAAGTCGATCTATCATTTATTGTCCGTGATTGTCATCTAAATCAGCGCTTGACACTAAGAATGATGAATAATATTATTCAGTATTAATTATTAATTATCAATCGGTGCTTGATAATCATGCTTATGTGCCAACTTGTTATGCAATTATCCGGAACGTGCAAAAACAAGCCTTCTCGACCATTTATTTTGGCTGCAAAAGTCAAAAGTCGACAAAAGGATTCGTGCTTTAGAAACTTAACAAGTAACGTGTCGGTGTTATTTTGTTCGTAACAAAGTCAAACATGGTATAGTTGACTGGCCTAATTTTGCCAATTTCTTACAAGTAAAAAAATTGGGAATTGCATAAAATGCATTATTTTATTTATTATTCCCATTGACCTATTTTCTTTTTCTTGTAATTAAAATTCAATATTCAACAGTTTGATTGTTTTATATGAGATTCGTACGGAGAATATTCAATCAAATTTGTTTATTTTCTTCATATTTTATATTGCGATATTGTCCATCAATCTCTTACTTTTCAATATTTGGAAATCCTAACAGTCAAGTCTAAAGTGAACCTTGAAATCATTTTCACAATCGATAAACATTTAAATCAAAACATCTTTATCTTCAAATAAATAAATAAATTATGTTAATACAACTCACGTTATTTTTATTTATTTTATTTTTTTTCTATTTCTTCACCCTCATGACATGAAATTCTGACCGCTTATCCGCCCACTTAAAGAAAAATTGGTGATGCAGGTTCTGCCACGTTGTCGACCAGCTGCGTTAAATCTGGAGCTGGTATAAAGTCCTTTTTCCTCACGGCAAATGAGGCACGGCTGTTTAATTGGCTATTATCAATAAAATTTGTAGATAATTAAAAATGACGTGGCAATTATAAATAAACTTAATGAAAATTTTTGCAGAATAGCATTAATTAATTTGCTGGAATATTGTAAGAGAAGAAAATTTTTCATGGGATAATCGTTGTTTTCTTTTAATCGATGAACATGATAGTGCTAACTCCTCTTTTAATTGATAGTTATGGAGGTGCTAACATCACTCGTGGATATTTCTTTAATTGATCATATGATGTTTTAATATAACAACGACGGTCGTTCTCATGGGATGAGTTTTATCTGAATGTTCTTTACTTAATTTTCGAGGATTATGTATTTTTTTGTTTTTTTGTTTGGGACTCTTTTGAACTTTTTTTTAAATTGGGACTATGATTGCAATTAGTTCTTTATTTTTTTAAAAACAAATTTAAATAGAAGGTATATTGGTCATTTTATACTTTTTTATTGAGAAAAATGATGAAAATGATGTTTTGTACAAGAAAAGGTAAATGTGGGAATGAAATGCGCCAAAAACGAAAGGTAGGGACGTTTTTCACAAAAATTATGAAAGGTATGGACGTTTTGTACTAATTACCATTTTAATAATTTTGATAAAAATTGATGAAATGTGAGGTTAAAAAATTCAGGTTATATGAAATGTATAATTAAAATTAATTATTAACTTTCACTAATTCAGATTTTAATCCTCGTAGAAGAGTGACTTATAAACTATTTCTGTTAATTTCCTTTCCTTGTTTCTCATAGGCAAAAAACAAACAAGAATTGGAGAATGAAAATGATTGTTAAAAAAGGTTGAACCCCAGCTTTGAGGGTTCCCACCATTCCGCTCTTAGAGCTTTGTGAGGGAGGTAAATCGGGGGTTGTGCCCAACAGGTCAGCGAACAAAAGCTGCCTGTACATTGCGCCTACAAAGAGTCCAATTTTATGTCTCAAGAATCGAACCTCCACACTGCGACTGTCAGCAAGACGTGAGATAACATCACTCCTATTCTTTGTACTACTAGACTATGTCCAGGAAGGCATGAAAATGATTGTTATTCCAAAGTGGGATGGAAGATTCAAAGTCTATGCCTTATCTATACACAACACGCATTGATCTAATTGGGAGTTTCAAGGTGGCAGGGCTCCGCACATAACCTTGTTGAGCTTTTTTTGGACTTTTCGAAATAGACAGACACGTGTCGGTAATAACAAGGTTTCTTTCAAACAACGTATTTCCGCATAATGCTCAAAACCGTAACATCCAAAGCTACTATTTCATCAATTAAAAGGGGAAGAGATATGCAATATTTTCTAGTCTATGAGATCTGGAATTGATTCTTTTGATTTTTAGCCCAGTTGGATAAGAATTAAAATTCAGATTTTAATTTAAAGTAAAGTCAATAATCAATTTCAAATCATATATTTCACGGTATCAATAATTTTTTAAACACACATTTTATTAATTTTTATTAAATATTTACTAAAAATCTGATTTTTATCTACACAACACAAGAGATAAATATCTTTACATAGTTTTTGAATTTTCCTTGCACTACAGACAATGTTCTAAGTGTGAAGTACTCATGAGGTTCAAAATAATGTTTTAGAAAATTTCTCTTTTGATAAAATATCAATTTAATCTTCAAAAATCGAGCATAACATTGATCTTGTCCAATTTTTCTTGTGTGCCTTTTGAACGCTTTCACTTTTCCTTCTCTTTGCCTTCTTATTTTCGAACCTTGCCATAAACTTATCTGTGTATATATGACGTGATTTGAATTCGCATTAGAAGATAACTAATCTTTAGATGGAATGAGGCCTCACTTCGAACTCGTGGGTATTCTAGAGTTTTAGACAGTATAAAATAAAAAAGAAATGAAAAAGCTATTTACCATTCTATGCCGAGAGAGTTTTGTATGAATTGAAATGAAATATAATATTTATTTTCAGTTTGATTAGTAAAAAAAATTGATAAAAATTTAAGTTAAAAATTAATTTTAACCATATATTATATGAGGCTTACAATTTTTAACAACTTTTTAAAGAAAAATTTATTAAATTTTATCAAAATTTACTAAAAAAATTAATATTCCCATGAATTGCTCATGTGCGTAAAGAATTAAGTGATTGTTTTTGAAAATTATTATTATGAATAAAATATACATATATTTTTAGAAACGTGTGATAAAAAAATAGAGAAAAATTTTAAATTCACATTTAATTTATTTTATTTAAATTATACAATTTAAAAAAAACTGAAGACAAATATTTTTCAAATAAGTATCAACGATAAATGCTAAGTCTATGTTTGGCCTCCATTTTTTAATTTTTTTTCTAAAAATTCATTTTCAATCACACATTATATCATAAAATAATTTTACACACAAATTGAAAATATTTTTTTATTTTTCTTAAAAAATAACTATTTCTCATACGCTTTCTTACGTTAACGAGGCTCGAAAAAGGACACGCTTTCTAACGATAATGAGGCTCGAAGAAGGGCTAAGAGTTTATCATATTAGCCTAGTAGGATAAGTTGGAGAATTGGATTGGGTTTTGATGTTGACTTTTGAGCGGCAACATCACTTGTCTTGTATGGTAAAATCATGGCATTGAGGGTTTCTTTGTATTTTCTCCTGTAACTATCTTCAATAGTTTCATACCTCGACTAATGCTTGCCATTCAAACAGGGACTTTGGACAGGATTTAAAACACCTCGCTTAAGTTAGATAATTAAACATATTTAATTCTAATTTTGAAACGCCAGATGAGACGGGACGGGGCGGGACAGGGTGGGGTTTGGACGGAATGAGATGTAGATTTTAATTAATACCAAACATGACTTTTAATTACCTTTTTCTCATTTTAAGCTTCTTAAATATGCCCACCTACCACTCTTCTATTATAATATAATACCTACCACTTTTTTTTTTTTTTTTTTTTTTTTTTTTTTTTTTTTTTTTTTTTAAGGGGGTGTTTTATTTTTTATTTTTTTTAACGAGGTGTTCCAGCTTACGCCAGACTATATCCTCGTCCCTGAACTTCCGGCCTCCCAGCAGCTCAGGGAGGTAAATCGCGGGATGTGCCCAAATTGACCAGGGTTCAAACAACCTTTATACTCCTGGCCTCAAGGGAGCCTCATCCATGGTTATTACATCACCAAGGTGCTCCAACCCTTCCTCTGATTATTACAACACTCAGCTGCTCCAATCAGGAATCGAACTCCTCACGCTGGGGTTTCGAGCCCCGCACTATCCTTCCTTTGCTAACTTGGATGTGCCCTGGGGCACATACTACTCTTCTAATATTATGTACGGATGATGAGGGCTGAGTTTACCCGGTGAAATGGTAATCTGACCTTGTAACACGAGAATCCTTACAAGAATCTCTTTAGAATGAACGAACAAGCCACTTGCATTCAATTTCTGTATTTTCTTTATTTTTTAAAAAATAAAAAGCTCCAGCCAGGGTTGAGTTTTTAATTATTTTCATAAAATTTATACGTAATAATTTTGCGAACTTTTATGTCATCAACCCTTGAAACCATCGCTATAAGAACCCTCCGTCTCTCCCGTAACTGCACGCAATACAATCATTGTTACATAAACAGAGAGATATATAGAGAGAGAGGCTTGAAAAAATGGCGCTGCTTACTGATCTCATCAACCTTAATCTCTCCGACAGCACAAAGAAGGTGATTGCTGAGTATATATGGTGAGTTCGCCTTCATTGCGTTAAGGGATTGTGTTGCTCTGTTTTTACTGTATATGTACTCTGTTTTTTTCTTTTCTTTCAAGACTTTTTTGGTTTGAAGTTTTAGATTTTATTTTTCATTCTCTCCGATTTGAATCCCTTTTTCTTGATGTTGAGATCTAGTGCTGTTTAAAAAATCAGCCTGATTTTGATTATTTTTTATCTTCTGTTTTATTGATATACGAAATTGTTAATTGTTAATGTTTGTTTGAGAGATTTTAACAGATTTTTGGACATTTGTGGTATTTTTTGGTGCTTTTCTCTCATCTGATAAACCAAACGTACCGAAAGATCTTACTTGTATTTCATTAGATTCACTTGTCGAAACTTTGTACTTTTGTTTTTTGTTTTATTATTTATGATCTACCAAGTGGTTGAGAGTTGAGAGAGACAGATCTGATATGTGGAAAGATCTAGTTTTCCTCTTTTATTGTTGTAATAATATTTCCTTAATCGTCTCGATAATTAGACGTTTAAGAGATTAAATTTAGTTAAGGTTTCAGATTATAATTGTCAACAATTTGCCTGTGAATTGATTCTATGTTGGTCTATTAATGGGGTTTTGATTGTTCCATTAGAATTGATATCCATTGTAGTATACTTATTGCTGTACCTCGATATGTTGTACCTCATTATTGGTTAATATTCTCGACTGGTTTTCAGTTGTTATGAACAAACTGACGGCCAGAAAGTGATTTATGTAGCCGACCCAATATTACGAATAAGCCGATTGACTGATTTTATCGCCCAAACTCTCACGTGGATTTGTAGTTTTGCAGATTGAACAAAGAGAGAGATACTATAATATATGCCCTATTCGACAGATTTGTTTTATTGCCTACTTACACATTCTATGGGACTGATTCCTTATGTTTGTGTGAATGAATTTAACAGGATAGGTGGATCTGGTATGGATCTAAGAAGCAAAGCAAGGGTAAACAATTTTCTTGCAAAAATAATTAATTTCTGGTTAATATTTACACAATCATGCTATATGTGCAATGATGGTTGGCAATGTTTATTGACAATCATCATCACATTCATCCATTTCAAAAAAATTTAAAAACAATTTTTTGAATTAACTGTCTAGATTTTGCCACATCAAACTTTGTCAAGGAACATTGTCGACTATAATTGTACAAGTAGATTAATTCATATTTACGAATGTGTTCCAAGATTGCTGACTACACCTTTTGGTTTATAACAGACTCTTTCGGGACCTGTGAACGATCCCTCAAAGCTTCCGAAGTGGAATTATGATGGATCAAGCACAGGCCAGGCTCCCGGAGAAGACAGTGAAGTTATCCTATAGTAAGTTTTTTCTTTTTTTCGTTCGATCTTTATGTTTGGGTGGAAATATGTGGGTTTTTTACCTTTTATTCATTCTATTCCTGCTTGTAACAGTCCTCAAGCGATTTTCAAAGATCCATTCAGGAGAGGAAATAATATATTGGTAAGTTTCTTCTTACTATCATCGGTTACACGTTTATTTATGTTGGTTTTTAATTTGACTAGCTTATACGTTTAGAATCATGCCTAATTCGACTATTCTCTATATTAGGTCATGTGTGATGCTTATACTCCGGGTGGTGAGCCTATTCCGACAAACAAGCGGTACAATGCAGCCAAGATTTTTAGCCATCCTGATGTTGCTGCTGAAGAAACATGGTATTAACTATTGAGAGTTCAATCGTGATTAGAGTTTTTCTATTTATTTGATTAGAAATCGTTGCGTAATTTATATATGCTGATTTTATTCTTTAAATCTCCTGATTGACTTGTGTATTGAAATTTATTATTTGCATTAAAGGTACGGTATTGAGCAAGAGTACACCCTTTTGCAAAAGGATGTTAAGTGGCCCATTGGATGGCCCAAGGGAGGTTATCCCGGCCCTCAGGTATGCAATAATGGATATGACTAAACTAATAGTACAATTAACAAAAACTTTTAGCTTTTTATTTTCTTTCTTAATTGTGTCAAGACTGTCAAGTGCTATCTGAATAAGCCACCAATGTCTTGTGTATATCCCATTTAATGGTGAACTCTTCTTTTATGTGTAGGGTCCATACTACTGTGGTATTGGAGCTGACAAAGCCTTCGGACGTGACGTTGTGGATGCACATTACAAGGCTTGCCTTTATGCAGGAATCAACATAAGCGGCATCAATGGAGAAGTGATGCCTGGCCAGGTAAAATTGACCCGTCGATTTTTTCTTGATAAGGAACTTATTTTGGTCTTTTCCATAAATTTTAATTTGAAATTTGTGTTTCCATTCACCTCCTATACAGTGGGAGTTCCAAGTTGGACCTTCTGTTGGCATCTCGGCTGGTGATGAGTTGTGGGTTGCTCGTTACATCCTCGAGGTATTCTGACATACCTTGTTGTAAACATCCCTTATTATTATTATTATTATTTTGTATTTATTGACGAGCGATGTTATCTAAATTCTTTATTTGCTGGTTAACAGAGGATCACTGAGATTGCTGGGGTGGTGGTATCATTTGATCCCAAGCCAATTGAGGTAAAATTTTCAATTTGAATTTTGCTGTATTCCTCTGCTACACGAGCTTAAAGTTTACATTTGAAATGAAAAAATATTAGTCATGTTATGGAGGAACTTGATTGTTTTGACTTGTGATGTTTTTATTTATTAACAGGGTGACTGGAACGGAGCTGGCGCCCACACAAACTACAGGTAATATTTTGTTAACTTTTAAATGATACAGGAACTGCGTTTTTTATTGGAACCCTCGTCTGAACTCTTGGCTATTTTATTCGTTTAGCACCAAGTCTATGAGGAAAGAAGGCGGATATGAAATCATTAAGAAAGCTATTGAAAAGCTTGGACATAGGCACAAAGAACATATTGCTGCATATGGTGAAGGCAATGAGCGCCGTCTCACTGGAAAACATGAAACTGCCAATATCAACACCTTCAAATGGGTAAATAACTATTTTGTCTCTTCTTAGGTGCTATGGGAGAAACTAGTTACTTAAAAGCAGCTTTTACATATTCCAAGCTTAGCCAAACATGTTGAAGTTCTTGTTAATTCAATCAATAAGACGTGAAGAAATATTAGAATATTTACAAGAAGAAAGATTAAGAGCATGTTTGGCTAAGCTTAGACAAAGAAAAATTTACTTTTGTTTTCTGTTATGTTTGGATAACTTATTTGTTTCTTTCTTGCTTTTATGTACTATAAGTTACTATCTTGAAATTAACTCCTACGAGTCTTGTTCACTATAAATTTTGAAGTCGGTTACATGAATCCTTTTACTCTACTTTTAAATTATAATGTGGGATCCTTAAGAAACGCAGAATGACAATGATATATTTTGGCACGGTTTTTGGACAGGGGGTTGCGAACCGTGGTGCATCCATCCGTGTTGGTCGGGACACCGAGAAAGAAGGCAAGGGATACTTCGAGGACAGGAGGCCCGCTTCTAATATGGACCCGTACATTGTAACCTCAATGATTGCAGAAACGACTATCCTCGGGAAGCAGTGAGGAGCTCATTTTACAAAACCCGGTGGACGACATTGTTGTTTACGAGTCGGACATTATAAGGGGGAATTTTATTACAAAATAACCCTTTCATCTGTTTTCTATAGGGTAGTTTGTCTCGCTATTATTTGCTGGTCTCTATTGCTATTTGACTCTGTATTGCAGTCTGCAAGATTTGAGTTCATTGCTATTTGTATTTTTCACCTTTATGATAACACATTAATAACAATTTGAAGGGTTGTTTTTCAGTGTTGGAATCTGAAATTTATTAGCTACTGCCTCTTTATTTCGTTTTTCTCCCCGAAATATGGATTTTATTCAAAAACATTTCTACTACTATTTCTTCATAAAGACCAGGTGATTTAGGATCTGTTTGACGGGACTTTTGTTTTCGTTTCTTATAGAAGAGTTCCAAATGAAGTTCAGACAAAGTACTTTTAGAAGATTATTCATATATATTCAAAAGTAATTTCTTAATTTCAAAAGCAATTTTTTACTTTTCAAAAGGCTTGTCCAAGGGGCTTCTAGACCATTTTGTTGAGTTTGTTGAAGTAGAGACTCAACTATTTGTTGGATTTTTAAGCTTTGGATACAAAGAGTTCAACATTGTTACATTACCAAAGCAATTTTGTTGATGAAAGAATCATCTTGTAATGAAATCGAGGAACTTGCTGAAATTAGACATGAATAGATTACTCGTACCTTATATTTTTCTTATTTCTATAAAAGTTCTTGTATTCGAGGCAACATGTATAGCTACACAAATTCGAGCAAGAAATGACCTTTGTCGAGGAAGATGCTCTATAGCCGGCACTACCACTTTCTTTCATTCAACATTGAAGCATGTGAATCGTAATGACGTCATTCGAGAAATACTTCTCATTTCTTGGTTTTTTGAAGATTATTATTTGTAAGTAAGAAAAAAAATGTAAATTGTATGTAAATTGTAAAGTGAGTGTTTGTTCTTAAAACTTACAGCTGGCTTATTTTATGACATAGTTGTTCATGTTTACTTTAAGGCTAGGTAAACCTCACTTATAAGTAAAGTTTGAGAAAAATATATGTTAAACTTATGAGTAAATTTATTTGTAGAAAAGAAATTTATGTTGACAATCAAAAATTATTAAAATAAGCAACTTTCGAAGTTTAGTGAAATCACTCATTGTAAGCGGGGTTGGCCAGCCTTAAAAAGTTTGCTTGTAAGTACATGTATTTTAGAATAATTAATTCTTTTTATTTGTAGATATTAAAAATAAGTAACTTTAAATTTTGACAATAAAGTGAAAGCTACTTTAAAAAATAATGCTGTTTTTCATTTAAATAAAGTAACATTCATATGTGTGGATTCCATGGAAACAAGATGAGTAATTTTTACTTTACTTAAGATTAGCCAAACATGCTTGTCCTTTAGCAATTATTGGCAGCTTAGTTATGTCAAGAATCAGGTGATACCCAATTTTTATATTTCTACTTATTTTAGGCAAATCAAAATTTAACCCAATTCACTCTATCCCCGTGTTCGTATAGAAGCTGAAATCGTGAATAGAATTGTACCAGAATTATTTTGAAAATCCTTCTTTGTAATTAGCGTCGTGATCGACCGGAGAATCAGTGGAAACAAGCAGCTTCGCTGGAAAATCCAGGTTTTTGTATCTGTTCTCTTACTTTTCAGTTTCCCACATTGTTCACCGTCTGTCAGAAATTCTTCACCTTCCACCATTCACATTTTCAGTAATTACTGTATATAAATTTCGTATTTTCAGTAATTACAATTTCAATAATCTATTAACTAGTTGTATGATTTGCCCTTTTATGTGTTATTTATGTTTTGATGAATATTACTTATATGTATGCTTTTCTTTTAATAAAAATTGAATAGTGGTGTGATTGGATGTGATTATATAATATCATAGATTAATTGTAATTTAAACAAGACAATTATGATATTGGAATGGTTTGAGTTGTTTATGATTTAAAATTAAGCTTATGCACGGTAACATGACTTTGCTAAAATGATGTTTCTTGAATTGTGTGAAGAAGAAATTTCCAAAGGAAATCAGCCTCCAACGTACTCGTCGAAGGATGACCGAGATAATTTAGTTAGGATATTTAGTTAAGATCATGACAGGATGGAGCTATAACAAGTAACAAATGAGAATTCTGAATAGAGAATTGTATTACAGAACAAACCTATTATCTATTTTCTATAGGGTAATTTGTCTTTCTATCATTTGCTGTTATCTATCATTATTTGCTTTCGTATCTCAGCCTGCAAGGTGGAGTTTGTTGCTTTTTGTGATTTTGCACCTGTTCACTGGCACACTTATTAATAACAATAAGGGATTGGTTTTCAATGTTGGAAAATGCGGTTTATTATCAAGTGTTTGATGCTTTGGCTCTGTGATAATCCTCAGTTTCTGCATTTCTCCCATAAAATTGATTTTATTCAACAACTTAATCGAAGCACGGTTGGGTTTTCAAAAATCTTAACTGAACAAGATTTTAAACCAAGAGACTTTTACTGATTTTCAAAATCACTCTTGGTTGTTGAAGAGAACTAGGGAGATGAGGAGATTGAGAGGGTGCAGACAATGCCTCCAATTTCTCCTCCCTTCTTTTGTACTATATAATTCTTTTCTTCGTGGGATTATTTTTAACTAGAAGAATTATATCATGGACTTCTATGTATCCCTAGTAAAAAGACCTTCGTCTGTTTCTGCTATTATTACCTTGTATTGCTTGATGAGTTGGTTGAGTTAAATACTAGACTATTTTGTCAAGTTGCTAAGTTTTGACTAGGAAAACCTTGACGGTACTCCTAGAAATTTACATAACGTGTAGCATT